AATTACTTTGCCGAGGCAATGATAACTAACAAAACCGGTTTCCTCTGCCAGATACGATAATTCAAAGGAGGAACGGAGGGCATGGGAGGGAGAGAGGGAGGGGTAAGAAAGGACTTAGTGGGAATTCAGTGGGAAGGAATGATGACCCCAAGTGACTGCCAATTATAACATGTCAACTGGCTGGCACTGACAGCAACTCAGAGCAGCTCTGCCAAACGTATTATGTTAAAATGTAAATGAGATCAGTGTGAATGGGAACAAATTGACTTGTTTGAGGGGGTCACGAGCAGACAGCAACTCTAACGTAGCCGATCTGCTCAGCTTGTGAATTATTTTCTCCCCCCACCCCGACCCCGCATACATAACGGGCTAATTATGAAAATATTAGTGCAGGAGTCTTATTGTTTGGAGGAGTGTTAACAAGTACGGTCGACAACTGTACGATTAAGTTACTAGTCCAGATCTTATGGGACCATTGAATTATGATTTCTATTTTTAATAGAATTTAGATAATGGCCAATTATAATTATTATGATAATAATAATCCTCATGTTTGATACAGCGCCTTATCACATCATCAAAATACCTTTTTTTTAAAAAAAAAATTGGAGTTGAAGTGCAGGTCAGCCATGATCTAATAGAATGGCGGAGCAGGCTTGAGGGGCTGGATGGCCTCTTCCTGTTGCTATGTTCTTGTAGAGCTCAAAGCGCTTTCCGGGGTTCCACTGTCAAGTTAGAGTGGCTGCATGTGTATTTTGTGGATGAATATTTGCATTTAACGTTAAGGTTGGGCTGCAGTAGTGTGGCTGACTCCTTTCCAGTTTCACATTTCTCAAACCTTTGTGGCCCCCAATTCTGCAAGCCTAATCTACCACACTATTTAATGTCATTACATGGCCTTGATAGAATTAGTGGACTGGGTACATGCATAAGTTTAAAGTCTTTTAGGCATTCCACGCTGGGCAAAATCACTGATTTCGCCAATTCATCAAACCAACTTAATTCGGCTCTTTTTCCGCGCTTTGCTTCAGCTCACCCGATACTTTTCTTTTGCACTGCTCAGAAGTTTTTAATGTTGTTTCGTTTTTTTGGGGGGGGGAACTAAACGCACTTTTTTTTATTAATATATATATCTCTATATGTTTTATATTTGTATATATATATTTAAATAGCAACTTGTAAAAAAAAAAACCCAACCCATAAATTGTGTCTCCCGATCAAGTGCTTATTTCGTTTGCAAGACGTTTTAAGTTTTTTTTAACGATGGGATTCTGTTTTTTCTCTCTCTCTCTCTCTCTCTCCCTCTGTTGACAGCTGAATTATGCCGATGCCACACGACCCAAAAGAACACTGTCCATATTTGGAAGCATTGGAGTAAATATCCGTGCCATGACCCCTGACTACCTGCTGTCACGGCACGCTGTACCGGGTGTCAGACGTGGCTCGAGAGTAGCTGATGGCGCGGCAGACTTTTCCTAAACAAACTGAATACTCCTTTCAGTGCCTTATGGAACATAATGGAGATACACGACAATGCAACTCATCGCTCGGATTTACAATAAGACTCTAGCTTGCTTGAAAAAAAAACACACACACACAGGACAGACAAGAGGTCAAAGAGAGCCAAGATCCTCTGTGAAATTATATACCGGAATAAAAAATAATAATTCAATTTTAGTTCAGCAAAAAGCCATTGTTTGGTACACAACTCTCTGTGGAATGAAAAGGTTTCATGTAACAAATTAACTAAAGCTTATTAACACTTTTGAGTGTGAAAGAATATATATATATATATACATATATATATATAAAATCTCCCAGCCATCAATTAAAATGGGAAATTGAAAAGCACTCAAAGGGCTGAGGCTACTTACGACATAAAATAATGCTGACAGAACAGGAAAAAAGGCCGCAGTAATTGTTTTCAGAACCGATTGATTTGCCAAAATAACGGTTACGTTTAAAAAGAAAAAAACAAGCGGGTTTTTCTTGCCAGATACTGTGGTTTAAAAAAAATTCTTACATGATATCTTTTCTACGACGACGCATTAATTATCAAGTGTTTTTCTTATATATATATGAACGTATTCTATATATATATATATAGATATATATAAAAGAGAAAAAAACTAGGCTGTTTCAGTGAAGTATCTGCATACTAATTACCTCTGTTAATATGTCGAGATTTGGGTTCATGAACTGGACTCTGTGTGTGTGTGTGTGTGTGTATGTGTGGGAGGAGGGAGAGGATAGAGGCAAAGTGGGGGGAAGAGACAGCCATCAGAATGTCAAATGGAATGTGAACATCACAATAACAAAATGGCCTAATTTTATATAAGAAGCAACAACGGTTAACCTTTCCTGTCTGAACATTTTCAGGCGTCTGCGATTATTGAGAAGATCTTTCAATCTTAGTCTCTTAAGTGGCCTGAGCAGGTGAGAAAGGATTAATTACAGAGCGCTGTAAGTAAATTAAATTTTAAAAAAAAGGCTATAAAGCGGTGAGCGGGGGGTGGGTGTAGGGTGGTGAGGGGGTAGTGAGGAGGGGGAGGGAAATGGTGCGGAGGGGGGAATGAAGGAGGTGTGTGGGAAATGATTTTTTTTAAAAAAAGGATTATATGAACAGAAACAAAATGTAGATTTATCGACTTGTGTCAGTTTTCCGAACGAAAAGTGAAGGCTGCATTCACCGAGAGGAGAAAGACCTTGTTTGGTTTTGTTGTTTTTTTTTTAAAAAAAAACTTGCATGTAACTCGATTGTTTTTTTTTCGTTGCCTACACTTTCTCGCTAATAACTTCAAGCTGTTAGAAGTTGAGCCGTAGTCACTTAAGGAACTCTTTCTGTATTCTCGGTTGGAACGATGCACTTCAGCGAAACACGACGAAAAAACAAACAAAAAGTTAACCAGAGCAAAACTAGCGATTATTACGGCGTAACGTTGCATGAGAGGATATTATTCACCCCAGCCTCGTTCAGGAGGCAATGTAAAAGAAAGGACTTTTAATACATTTTGTAAATAAACTGTACAGAAAAAAAAAAACAACGCGGCGTCTTAAGGCGCTAAACAAATGTAATTTTGTTGTTGATGTCGAAAACGTCTGACGGAATCGCAGTGTATCTGTTGGATGAGCCCAAAGGTTCGTTCTTTGGTGAGCTCGTTTTTCTTGCGGCTGAAGCTCCGAGCGACACGAAGACACCCAGTCTCTGAAAAGCCTCTTTTCTCACTCGAACCTGCCGCTATAGGTCGCAGTGTCTGAGATGGAGGCCATTACCTCACCTACGCGGGTGAAATGAGTCAGAGTGTCAAGACGGGCCGCGAGTCATTTAATCGCTGCTAAATCGCTGCCGTTTCGAGGCCGGGTTGTTGAACAGCGTTCCGTCGCTGTTCTGTGCTGCAGCCCCCACGTGTACCCTGCGTTAGCAGGTCATGCACTGCGAAGCTTTAGAGCAAAACTGGGAGCACGGCAATACAATTCTGTCCAAGTCCAAACAGTCCGAACAGCGTTGGCTCGTAATGGGAACCTTTATATTCAGGTCAGCATTTTCCCATGCACATCTACATCTGCAGGTTGAGGGGAACTTCTGATGGGATTCCTTTAATAATAGTAATTATTATTATAATAATGCTTGCATTTGACACAGCGCCTTATCACGTCGTTGAGAGCTCCCGAAGCCCTTCACAGAATATATCGCAAAGTGGATTAACTGTGTATTTTGTGGGCGAAACCCTTTCTAGGGAATCCGGTTAGGAAATCCTGCAGTTTTGACCCAATTGTGGGAAGATCTGCAATAAGAAGATTTCCTAATTCGGTCGTTACTACAGTAAGCTTTTTTTTTTTTGGTGGGGGCGAGTGGGGGGTGGGTTTTGCCACAGTCACTCTTGATGCATGTTAAATCTGGGTCATAGTAGGATTTAGTTTTCCTCTGAACCGATATTTGACAACACAACAGCATATCATTTCGCTGCATTTTTAATTTATTTATCAGCCGCATTTCACAGGATCAAAGGCAACATGTCACTTCCCGGCAGGATTGATCCCATCCCAGGGTGAAGGCGCTTTCTCTTAAAAACACATCGAGTCTAAATAATACACTCCTGATTAACAAGCTAACCTTGTCTGATGTCGTCGAGCTGTGTGGGGAAAGTGAATCAAACGGGTGATAAATAGCGTTCGGGCAGATTGTCACCTGTTATGCAGATGGACAGAGGAGTGTTGGGCGACTGTGTTTGGGCGACAGTCAGGGCTGCCAGTCAGCAGAGAAGGATTCGAATGCAATTATTGATCATTCGCTTAGGTGGGTGCGGGGTTTTTTCCAACCAAATCAAAGTTACTGTCGCCAAAGTTAAATCGAATAGTGGGCTGCAACTTGACTGCGAGTGGGAAGAAGTTACCCTGATCTGCTTCAGATCATTGGTGTGGAGCATGGCACGGTGCCCACTTTGGGTGCTAGCCCGCCAAAGGCACCCGCTGAAGCTTTGGTGAGGGTTTGAGGGGTGGGGGGGGGGTTGAACGAACTTCCATCGGATGATGAAGAACAAAACGAGGCAGCACAACAGGCGAGTTCCAAGGACGGCCACTTTCAGTTACGGCACCATTTGCGCAAACCGCCTGCCGCATTGGCCCACAAAAACGACACGGTCTGGCCACTTCGCCGCTTCGAGACATCCTCCCAATGTGAAAGGGGCCATACCGAACGCAAAGGACTGCTGTTCGGGGTATTGAAACCGTAGCGCAATTGGCGCACATTGTCGTGGGACTGAAAACGAGGCCCAAGATAAAAATTTTGCTCGCCTGCAAAATACACTGTCGCTACGCTTCACAGGAAACGCCTGCGAAGGGCTTTGGAAACGTCTTCCCCAAAATGAAAGGAGGTGCATCGAACGCTAGGACCGTTGTTTAAGTTATTGTTAAGAGCTGCTCTATAAACACGGTCACAGCTGATGTGAACAGCGCTCGCGATACAAACTCACAGTTAACATCACCTTCCAGAACCTGTATGCGTTCCAAATACATGGCATCAAGTGTACAACTGCCAAGATTCAGTCCTTCATACGATGGGTTTGTTACAGGCGTTACACAAATTGTATTCGGGTCCCTAAATTATTTCACAAACGTCTCTGAATTTTAAAAAAAGGAAGTGAATTACTCCAGGACTTAAGTAAATTAATTGGATCCAGCCAAGTGTAGCAATAAAGCTCCTGTGGGATCTAGCAATCCAGCAACGTGACCCCATTTCCATAAGTGCGTTGAGTGCAAGGACAAGCATAAATCATACGCCTGTGGGGAAACTTCCATTTCATCAGCTCTACCTTGGTTTTAGTTTAAACTTCTAACGCCGGGAAATAAGCTCCAGACCTGGTGGCGTCCATTTCAAAGAAATGCGGACTCTTATCTCCGGTTTACCCCGGTTTAATATTGGTATAACATTTAATACTGATTGTTTAGTGGTTAGAGCGCCCACCTCGAAAGCGAGTAGACCCGGGTTCGATTTCCCGGGCAGGGTGAAACCTTCGGCAAGTTTCCTTACTCTACATGCCTCTGTTTACCTAGCAGTGAGGAGGAACCCGGTTCTGGGTCGATTGGTGGATCAATTTCTAAGGGTAATAATCCCTCCAAAATATCAATTTGGTCACTTAATCCACGACTGTTTGTGGGACGCTGCTGTGTGCAATTGGCTGCCGTGCTTTGCCCACAAAATCCACAAATCAATCCAATTTACAGTCTATCCTATGATGCGATTTGAAACAACGTGATAAGGCGCTTTATCAAACGGCAAGGATTATTGTATTCCCCTCCCCGTCCAAATTTGCCACGAAACTCAAGGTACAATCGCTGTCCTTGAGGTGCGGAGTCATTTAATCTGTAGGTGGGGAGCAGTAGGCAGACGGTCACTGGGCCAGGCTGCTATTCCTTGCTGGAGCCTGTATGGATGATTAGTGATGCTTGGATCAGCCGTGTGCGTGGGTCTCCCTTGGCTCCGTGATCAATTATCCTGCTGACAGACAACTCCAGTCAGCAACGATTTTGCAGCTTCCTTGACTCCCCACCACCCACCACCCCGCTCGGCCTCCTTCAAACACCCTCCCCCACCCGCATCCCTCTCCCAGAAGTGAAGACAATTCCGCAAGAGACAGGAGAATTGTCAGCTGAAAACAAGTCAGGGTCGGAAGGGAGAAGGTTTCACCCCAAAAAAAAATAAACTCGCATTGTGAATTATAACTAACGTTGTTTACTCGGAATTCTTTTTTTAAAAAAAAAAGAAATTTGCGTAGGTGCAAAAGCGTCAGAGGAATTGGTTGGGAGCAGATGATGTGTTCTGCACTGAGAAGGAGGTTGAATTAACATAAGCAATTGAAATACTGAGAGGGAGGCAAGTCAGAAATCATTACAGCATTAAGGTTAATAGCTGCTCTGGTTTTTTTTTGTTTAAAAAGCTCCTCCGGGTATAAAACGACTTCAAATATCGGGGCCAGTTGCGCTTTGCACTTTTCAGAGATCATTTTTAGGTGAAAATTGTAGGCGAAATGAGTTCCCGCTGTCAGGGCATTGAGGTGTCTCGGAAGCGTAGTGGTCAGGGCTCTCGCCTCGCAAGCAAGAGGTCCCGGGTTCGATTCCTGTTGAAGCGAAATCTTAGGCACGTTTCCTTAGTCCACGCGCCTCTGTTTACCGAGCAGTAGTACGTGGGAACCCGGTTGTTAGTCGATTGGCGGGTGGCTTTCCGGGGCTAATAATAATCCTCCCCAAACAAAAATGCGGTCACTCAATCCACGACTCTTCGTGGGACGCTGCCGTGTGCAATTGGATGCCGCGCTTCACCCACAAAATACGTTTTACTGTGTGTACGGTGAAGAGCTTTGATACGTCTCAACGACGTGAAATGCGAGGATTAATATTATTATTACGATGATGATAATCATCTCCTCCTCTTGAAGGCAGCTGGAGATTGTTGCCTCCTGTAGCTACGCCTTACGTCCTCTCCATTGAAATATCAATTCTGACACCTCCCCTGTGCAGCCAAACCACCCTGAGCCTTGGGTGTATTGTTGTGAGCGGAACATTTCCCGGCTGATTGATGGAAGCATCGCTTTTTGACGATGTTATCTGGTTCCTCCGTGTAGCTCGTTACGTCGGTGCCTCTGGGGCTTCGAAGATCAGGCAGAGGTCCCGTCAGCCAGGCGTGACCGTGCTCACTGAGCTGCGAGCCAGCTCCTAGGTCAACCCCTTTCCGAGACGCAGGCCAAAGTAATAGCGTGTGACAGAACAGACCAACGGAATCGGGCGCGGAGGCCGGGGAAATTTGTCAAGCCCGAGTGTCACCTGCCAGGCCGTGAAGCGATACTGACTCGTGTCCCATCGGAAATATGGCTCAGCGCCGACGACGTGGACACGTGTGCAGTCCGCGACTTCTAAACAGGCCAGCGACCTCGCGCCACAAGGGCTCAATTCCCTTCCAGATTCCCCGCCAATTCCCCATCGATCCCAACTCCTGCCCAAAGG